ACAGCTCTCAGTCACAGGTCCACGCGTGCCTGCACACATGGACCCTGCACACATGGACCCTGCACACATGGACCCTGCACACCAGTGTCTGTTAGGGTAGGAGACCCAGGATAGAGAAGCACACCCCCTGGCTGCCCCGGGGGCCAGGGGCCAGGCAGGGGTCTTCCTTGCGTGTGGGGACCTGGGATGGGGATGGTCTGGGGTCTATAGCAGAACTTTGGCTCAGCTGGCCGTCCTGCTCCCACAGGAAGCAGCACCTGGAGCCTTCAGGGTGCCAGATCCTTGGACTCTCCACTGGGGCCCTGGTGACACCAGGTGGACTCTGTCAATTTGTGCCATCCCCTTTGGAGTTTCACAGGTCACCTGAGCACACGTAGGCTCCCAAGTGTGCTCAGGTGACCTGTGACACGCCAAAGGGGATGGCACAAATCAGGTCCCAGCAGAAGTGACCCAGAGGGCTGGGGTGCTGCCAGCTCAGGCTCAGCCCCAGCCCCCACCGGAGATCCTGTCCTTCCTTCCTTGGGTCCCCGCCTGCAGGCCTCCCTGGCCCACCTCACTCCGTTTTTGAGAGCTCAAGCTGAAACAGCTTCAAAATTAAAAGCAACTTCCTGGTGAGTGTTTTTCTGCATCCCGAACTTCCTCCTGCTGAGAATGGAAACTGAAACACTCCCCACGGGCCCTGAGAGCCCAGGAGGCCGGAGCCGCGTGCTCTCTGGCCTAGTTAAATCTGCATGTCTATCACCTGGCTCTCATATCTATGAATTATTACCTCTGGGCAGGTGATCTGCAGCAAGGAGTCTTCAAAGGAGACACTTTTCAAACCCCACCCAAACAGTCCCAGCAGCTGCAGGGAGCTCTTCTGCGAACCACGCCCCAGTCCTTCACCTGCAGACAAGCCTTCATGGGGTTCCCCAGGAACCACGTGCTGAGGGCTACACTGACTGGGGCATTGAAACGGCCACTTCCTGATGCCTGCTTCTCGGCATCCCCGACTTCCTGAGAATGGAAACTGCAACTTTATCCACTGACCCAGCTGAAACCGCCCTCCGCTAGCACAGCCTGACTAAACCGAGATCCATCCTGCCCCGGCCTGGTGTCTGTGCAGCATGTCCTCCCCCGCAGGATCTGGGGGGACACGTCCAGTGGCTTTGCCCCGGAGACAGTGCTCGTCCTGCTCACCTTTCCTGTTTGTTAAGGGAGCAGGTAGCCAGAGGCAGCCAGAGGATCCAGGCAGGTTCCCTGGCTTGGCGTCAAGCAACCAGGCCGGCCAAAGCACCCGTCTGGAAACTGTGCCAGACCCCAGGGCCACCTGATGTGTGGGACACCACAGAGCTCTGCTTCACAGCCAGAAAAGGCTCTGGGCCTCAGGGACACACGGCACGCGTACCGCTGGCCCTGAGAATGACGATGGAGTCCTGCACAGCCGCAGGAGGAGCCGGGAGCAGGAGCCACAGAGTGGAAACAGGGCCGTGGCACTGCGCTCGGCCATTCCTGCTGAATGATGAACTAGGTAAACTAGGAAACCGTATCCAAGCCTCCAAACACCTGGGAAAGAAAGGCACTGAGACTCCAGCACCGCCTGGGGCAGAGGTGGACAAGAGCTGAGCAGCTGTCCACTGGGCAGTGCCGTCCACTGGGCAGTGCCATCTCTGGGCTGTGCAGATGGGGGAAGGGACCTGTGCTGGGCAGTGTGAATGTGCCTGGGCACATGGAGTCTCCGAGGCTGAGTGAGGCACGAACAGAAGCCACCTCCGGGAACCCTGGGTGGGGTCATCAGAGGGCTGCTAGGGCTGTCCTGGCCCCTCCTCTTCAACACACACAGATGGTTCTGGTTTTACCATGTGCAAAGCTTCACGAGACCTTACAAGCCAGAGACTACAAAGGCATCTCCAAGGGGGAACTGGGAGATGGGGAGCTGCCCTGGGACCCTCACCGTGGGGACACCTGCCTCTTAACCTGGGAGTGTCCAGGGGATGAGGCCCAGAAGCCACTGTGATGAGGCCTGGTCCCTCTCTTTGGCATTGGGCAGGACCTGGGGGTCGGTGACCCTCCAGTCCCCACACAGGGTGGTCTGGTAGGGGTCTCTGGGTATCAAGCCCCTGCTGACATTCTGGCTGTCAGGGGGCTTCACTGGGTGGACCAGCCTTGGCCTCCGGCCTCTGTGCCCTGGCATGGGGCTGCTTCCTCACTGACCCTGGGGCTCATTCCGAAGCTGTGGACTGCGGGCTTCCTGTGCCCACTGGGAGCAGGCCGCTGCTTCGAATGACCCGGACAGACTGGCTGTCTGCTGCCCAGCTCTGGCTCCAGGCTGCCAGCCAACTCTCAGGCTCCATGACCCAGGTAAGTGGCCCATCCCAAACTCGGGTCACCTGGAAGGTCCCCGAAACTCTGCAGGCGAGGTGACGGGGACGAACGCCCTGTCACCTCCCAGAAGCTGAGGCTCTCAGAACAGGGCTCCTCCTGCCTCCTCCTGTCCTCGTGAAAACGGAGTCACCACATCTCTGTCACCTTCTTTGGCAAGAACCCCCATGTGTCTGCAGCCCATGGGGCCCCTCCTTGCTGTCCCAGAGGTCCCCTGCCATCCCTGAGCCCCAGGCCCTCCCTGCCAGCATGTCTCCTTGGGGTCCACAGAGCAGAGGCCCGGTGACCTCCAGGGTTCCCCACCCCACATCCGGCCCAGCACGCCATCTGCACTTAGCCCTCAGGGACAGGCCACAGACCCCCAGAGTCCCCAGCAGGCCTAGAGACCTGCCCCTCCACACCGTCCCCACCCCTTTCCTGGCTCTTAGAAGTGCAGGTCTCGTTGCTGCCCAGGGGCCCCCAGGCCACGCAGGATGGAGGTGACTCCCTTTCCAGGTCACCTTAGCCTTTCCTGCCTCCACCTGCCAGGCCAGCCCCCAGCTGCTCCCCGGGGTCTCACCTGTGATTCCTGGGACCACCTGAGGCCTCCCTCCCTGCCCCAGGGGTCATCTCAGGGTCAGGGACTTGGCTGGACCCACCTACCCCCAACTCAGAGGGAAGCTGGGCTTGGAGGACTGAGCAGTGTGACCACCAGGAATGACGAGTGGACGAGGCCCAGCAGCCACTCCTGACTCGCGCTGAGGTGTGCAGCTGAGGCAGCATGAGGCTGAGAGGCTGGACCTGGGCCAGCATCTGCCAGCTCCTGCCAGGAGCTGCAGGCGTCCCAGCCTCCCTCTGCCTTCCCTCCTCAGAGGGACCAGAGCCCTTGTGCAGGAGTGGGTCACAAATCCCCATGAACTGGGCCCTCCTGGGCCTCTCCCAGGTGGGCCAGGGCTCTCAAGGTTGTGTCCACAGAGCAGGGGCCTGTGTGTCCACAGAGCAAGGCTCCTTCTGAAACAGGCGCTTTATTTTGTGGTCAAAAAAGGGCAATTAATGCCTTGCACGGTGGCACACGCCTGTAATCCCAGTGGCTTGAGAGCCTGAGACAGGAAGATGGTGAATTCCAGCCAGTCTCCGTAATTTAGCAAGGCCCTAAGCAAATAGCGAGACCTGGTCTTAAAATAAAATATAAAATAGTCTGGGGATGTGCCTCACCCCTGCTGCGCCCCTCCCCTGACTCAGGCAACGGCAAGGCCCTACTGAGGTGGATGGCGCCAGGCGTCCATCCTCTGGAGGAGCGCAGCATGTTTCTGGGAAGGGGCTGGTTTGTTTCTGTATTCCTTTAGTAAGTCTAGTTGTGACCTCTCATATGACCATTACGTATGAAGGAAAAACATGACTTTCCCAATTAATGCAACTACTTCCAAAGAATGGATCTGTTTGCTCTAAATGCAATGATTCAGCTGTGGAGCGTAAATTGTTAATGTTTAATGAAAAACCCCCTGTAGGAAAAACAGTCAAGGAAGTTTTTGAGAAATTAAATTAAAATCTAGAGAAGAAGAATTAATGTTAAGAAGACAGATTAGTGCTTAGTACTGGGCGACTTGTTCTTGTTCCTGTGCACAACGGTTTGTGCTCTTGCTCTTGTTTGATTAAAATCAATAGCCTCTCTTTTCAAGTTAACCACTTGCTGTAACCATGGCACGATTCTAGTCAGTAAGTCAAGAAAGAATAGTCAAGGTATAGGCCAATAGTCTGGGTCATTTCTAACTATTATTAAAAGCTAACTAAGCAGAAACAGCTCAAAGCAAAACGCAAACTGAAAGTAAAAATGTTTGCCTATGTATAAGCCAAGATTTATTCTTCTTATCTAATTGTAGCTACGTAATATTTTGTTTCTTTGAATAATGATTCCTGTTTTGTAACCACAGAGTACTGTGAGCCTGCCAAAATGAAAAGTCTATATCATTAACTTCACAAGTAAAGATGGGGATTCGGCACCTTCACTTTTGTGTCTGTGTTGTTTCTCCACCCCTTTTCGCCCACCATCTGTTGTCTCCTGAGACCCCCTGTTGGAGCTGGTCTCCAACACACCCCTGGGTTCAACCCCAGTACAAAAAAAAAAAAGTCAGTTAACCCTGGGGCTCTCCTGCCGCCTGGTCCACCCAGCTGCCTGCGCCTGCCACACCCCCAGCACTGCCTGACAGCCACCCGCCTGCCTTTCCCCCAGCCTCAGCCCTGAGGYGCCTGGTGGATCCTGAGCAGCCACACAGCTCGCCCAGGGCACTGGGGGACCCYGCTGGCCCTGATGCCTGCAGAGCAGGGAGCCCACCGGCTCCCCAGAGGAGCAGCCCTGAGCCCTGGGCAAGGGACTTCCGGCCCAGCTCTGCTGGAGGGCGTCTCCCCTGCCCCCCACAGGCTTTGCAGTGCGCGGCTCTGACAATCAGCCTTGGCAAGAGCGCTACCAAGAAGGTGGCACGTTCTGAGGACACGGCATACTTCCCGAAACCCGGTGGCTTCCCAGAAGGGTCTCCTYCCTGCTTAGCACAGTCCCCTGGCACGCAGGAGACCTGCCTCCTCCCCTGGCCCCTCCCTCTGGGCTCTTTCAGTTTTCTTCTGGGCGGAGCAGAGAAAACCCTGGCGGGAGGCACCCAGGGGAGCAGAAGGAGGAGCAGGAGCAGAGCAGCAGGCAGCAGGTGAGGGGCTGGCGTGGGCGGGCAGAGGACCACAGCTGGGCACCTGGACACTTAAGGATCTGCAGCACCGTGGGCAGGACTGGGGGGATGGGGCCTCCTGTCCTGGCTGCAGCCCCTCCAGGACACTCAGCCCCTGGCCACCTCCTGCTCAGATGGGCCTGGGTCGCTCAGGGCTGGGGTCTGGCCAGGTCTGCAGGGCACAAGGGTGCAGGGGGATGGGCAGGCTGGGGGGACAGGACCCGTCTCTCCTGGATCCCCAGGTGGGCTCTGGGGGTCCTCTGTGGGTCCCTCACTTCCCACCTTATCTCACTGCGGAGCTGTGCTCCAGGGCTGAGCAGGACCTGTGCAGGACACGCTGCACCCTGCCCACTTCATCCCAGGTCGCCTGGAGGCGGAGCTGGCTGGGAGGCTCAGGGCTTGCCACCATGAGCCTGGCTGCAGTGCGGAGGAGGCCAGTGAGCCCTGAGGGAGGAGGACAGGGCAGCCAGGCGGAGACACAGAGTGACCAGTCTGAGGCGGGAAGGGTTGTCTGGCTCAGGGACTCTGTGGCCCCTGGGTCCCCTCCCAGCCTGCCTCATCAGCAACCAAGACAGGAGCCCCGGCTGCCTGTGCCCCGGTTGCCTGTGTCCCGGCTGACTGTACCCCTGGCTGCCTGTGCCCCCGGCTGCCTGTGCCCCGGCTGCCTGTACCCCCGGCTGCCTGTACCCCCGGCTGCCTGTGCCCCGGCTGCCTGTACCCCGGCTGCCTGTGCCCCGGCTGCCTGTACCCCCGGCTGCCTGTACCCCCGGCTGCCTGTGCCCCGGCTGCCTGTACCCCCGGCTGCCTGTGCCCCGGCTGCCTGTACCCCGGCTGCCTGTGCCCCCGGCTGCCTGTGCCCCGGCTGCCTGTACCCCCGGCTGCCTGTACCCCCGGCTGCCTGTGCCCCAGCTGCCTGTACCCCCGGCTGACTATGCCCTGGCTGCCTGTGCCCCGGCTGCCTGTATCACGCGGGCCGTGGTTTTGCAGGCTTCACTTTCTCTTTTCTGAGAATTGTGGTCAGCTCCTCGCAGTGCTGGCCAGCAGTACAGCTGGTCAGTGCTGACAGAGGCCTCTCTGTAGACAAGGAAGCCTGTGGCTTTCCCGAGCTCCTGCAGCATGCAGGACAGGAGAGCGGCCCCCTCAGGTGTGGTGGAAAGGGAGACCCCCAGAGGCCTCGCTGGTCCCCAGTGCACCCAGACCCCAGGACTCCCAGGCACCCACAAACCAGCTCACTGATGTCCCCTAGGGGGCAGGGCATGCAGGGCTCCGAGGAGTGGGCTGAGTGGCCAAGAACTTGAAAGTGGGTGTCATGCTGGGTCAGGTTGCTGCCTGGCCCCTGTCTTGTGGCCAGCGTCTGGTGGGTGCTGGAGAGAGCTGGGCTTCTTGCCCTCTTCTGACTAGAGGTGGGCGTTTGCACGCTCTGCTGTCCCTGCCCACCACAGTGAGCTGGAGCCCTGCCACCTTCTGGCCTCCCACTTGGCCAGGCCACTTGGGCCCACAGCAGGAGTCCAGCCACCTTCCCTTCCCAGGGCAGGTGCCCTCAAGTGCAGGGCATCCCCCAAGTGGGGCTACGGGAGATGGAGAGCAAGGGGCAGCCGGGCAGGAGGGAGGGAGCGTGGGAAGGGAGGCGGCCGGTCAGAGAAGCGAGAGGGCTCTGGAGTGGGGTGGATGGGCCCTCAGTGTGGCACCCACACCGCTGAATGCAGGTAGCGAGTTGCTTCTTGGTTCAGGTAGGTCCCAGATATCGAACTTGCTGCAAAACGAGGGCCTATCTGATCTCAGCTGAATCGGGGCATCCCGAACGTGGAGAGGCCCTGTGGCACCAGGGTGCGTTTCCGCCCAAAGAATCGTGGCAAATTCCAGGTTGCCACTGAGGGTCACTGCTCAGTGTGAAGCCTCGGGAAGGAGACCCACCGCAGTCCTTCCCGTGTCCATGTTCCGACCCTGAGTCCCCTGAAGGTCATTTTCAGGCCTGTCCCTGGGGCTTCCTGCTAGCCTAGGAAGATTCCCAAAATGCAGCAGAAAGCTGGTCCTTGCCACTGCCTGAGTGACCTCGGCTGGCCTGTCCCGGGGCTTTCTCTGCACCTGTTGGTGTGGCCTGGGAGGAGTCTCCAGGCAGGGAATTCAACCAGCTCCTGCAATCTCTCCAGCCCAGTGCTGGTCCAACCACCCTCCACCCCTGCTGGACAAGGGTCAGGGCCTAGGTGCTGCAGGAGATGCCACGAGAGGGTCAGTGGTCAAGCTGTTGGAGTCAGGAAGGCCAGAGGGGCCCTGAGTCCTCAGGTGAGAGGCGGGAAGCACCCGTGCTGGCTGGGGGGATGCGGGGAAGTTCCCAGAGCCCAGGAGTCCAGGTGGCTGGGAGCCCCAAAGAGAGGAGAGTGCTTCTGTCCCTGCTGCCCCAGCCCCGGCCCTGCTGAAAGAGGAGGCTGGGAGGCAGCGTGCTGAGCCCGTGCTCTGAAGAAGCAGGAGCCAGGCCAGGCTCTCCTGAGCTCCAGGGCAGAACAGGGCCAGTGCCAAGTCGGTCAGGTTGGGAAGGTGGACACAGCCACTGCCCAGGCAGGAGGAGCTGGGTGCTGTCTGGTGTGTGTACTGGCCCACAGAGCCTCCAGGACCTGGCCACTGAGATCTGTGGTTCCATTGTCCACTCGGGACGCAGCCAGGTGCAGCTCTCTGAGATGGCCAGGCCAGGTCTGTCCCTCCACGAGAATGGAACCCAGGCAGGACCAGCACCCCACGGGGAGGTGGGGTAGTGTAGGCAGAGTGTTCTAGGGGACTTCCAGCTCTGAGCCATAAAGATCCATGGTGGCCTTTAGTTTGGTGGCCAGAGTGCTGACCTGTGACTCACTCCTGAAGGTTCAGAGTTCCTGGAAGGAAAATCAACACAGACACAGCCCAGCTTCCTGCAGAAGAAGGGGTTCCCCGGGCGGGGCAGTAAGGGAAGCCCACTGCCCCGGCAGACCTGGCCTCCCCCTGCTGGCCTGGAGGCCTGGGGGGCAGCAAAGCAGGGGCTCCCAGGAGAAGGACGCAGGGCACCTTCAGCTCTGAACAGGGAGAACTCGCCCAGCCTGGGAGCCAGGAGGCAGGCCCTCCCTCCCATGGCCGACCTCAGTCCCGGTCCCCAGGGAAGCTCCGTCCCCACCTCCAGGCCAGGGACACCTGCCCAGCACCAGCTGGGCCCCAGATCCCACAGTCCTACCTGGTGGCCTGGGTGGCCCCAGAGCCCATCAAAGTGCAGACTTCAGAAGAGGTCTGTGAACACACTGAGTTTGGGTCATCCCACAGACTCTCTGGTGCCTGGTCAGCAACACAGGGGCTGTGACAGAGGCCATCACATCAGCCCAAAGCAGAGGCAGCCTGAGGGGCAAAGGCAGGGGCACGCTCAGGGTCCTCCTACGTGGACTCTGAAGCCTTCTGGGGCTTCCATGGGGGAGGAGCACAGGAGAGCAAGAGGAGAGGTGGCCTGTGGATGTCCAGGGCTAGATTCATGGACACTGCTGACTTGGGCAATGTGGCTTGGACCCTGACCAGTGCCCTCAGCCAGCCAGGACTCTGGCCTCCTGGGGACGATGTCATGGGCTGTCAGGGCCAGTTTTCCACTGGGGACAGTGGATGCCCTGGTGGGTTGTGGCCCCTTCTGCTGTGACTTCTCATGGCCTCTCACTGGGGTCTGGGAAGCACAAACCAGCTGTGCCTCTGAAGGTGACTCCCAGGAACATCCCC